ACTAAAGGCCAGTTTTATATTATTGGATACGGTAATATGTGTGCTGTGTCATTGTAACTTCTGTATTGGTAGCCAGGCATAGGTGAAAGGTCAATATAATAAAATATATATAAATGTATAATGTTATGAGACTTCAGCTATTTAGACTAAACATTTATGTTTTTGTGTTATAATTTGTAGTCATTCTAGAACGAAAAAAGTATAATTTATATCTATTTACTAATTTATTTATTTTTTATGATGGTTATGATGTCGGTCAAATCGACCCAACACGTACAGAGATACAGTAGTGAAAATAGATAGATTAACTATAACAAGCACAAAATGGTTACGAGGTCAATTCCTGGGACTGAGTCCATGCTGAGAGAGTTAAGTGTTACTGTCAGTAGTTTTGTTTCCATTCCTCATTGTCACCGAGTAATTTTTTACTGTCTTTCTCTGGTTTTACACAATACTCAAAATTTAACACTTTTTTTTTACAGTTTACCCAGCTTCAAAATAAATAATATTTCTTCTTGCTAAAACAATACTCAACAAGGAAAGAAACAGACACATCTCTGTACAAAGTACTAAAAGTTACCTACCTTCCATTGTGATTCGGGTGTCCCTAATATGGTTACTTTTCTTTCTGTCTGTTTTTCCATAGGTTCATCTGTATTGGGTTGAGCAACCTTGACAGGATTAATAAATGAAAAAAAATTAAGAACCAGTGGTATTCTTATTACCAGTAATCATAATCTAACAGCATGTGTACCTTACGTTTCCAGGTAATTACAACAACCAATTCTATTATTCTCAACACCAACGCTTACTTACAGACGAGAATAACTGGACAGAAGCAAGTAACCAGTCCAAGATTAAACCAGCAGGTCTGCCAATGGCTTTCTCTCTCACATAGCCAATTGAAATTAAATTCTATATCTACATTAATCAAAGAGAGTTCAACTAACCTTTATACTAGCTCCAGATGAGCTAATCATCTCCCTGATGCTTGAGCCTCCTGTACCAATGATGGCACCAACAGCAGAGTTTGGAATGTACAAGAACACCTGCTCCTTGCTTGGATCCTCCTGTTGTGATGGGGGTGGTCCTGAAGGGTAGTTCTTACGCATATAAGTAGGAGGAGTGTTGTACATACCATAAGGTGGGCTTGCCGGTCCCCCACGAGGAGCGGGAGAGTATCCAGGACCTCCCATGGTAGACATCATGGCCATAGGATGAACTCCAGGAAACATGAATGTCTGGGGAGCCATAGCAGAAAGATCATTCTCGTAGCTCTGGCGAAGTTTTGTACTGATCATCTGCTCGGCTTTAGAAATATTTTCTAGTTTGCCCACAACGGTAATGGTCCGTTCCATGTTAAAACTACTGATGTCATGTATACTGCTGTTGAATAACACAATATAAAAAATCTCAAGGAAATGCTAATTAGTAAACTGAAACAAAAAAATTATCCATCTTGTTAATATATGATGAAGAAAAGATAATTTTTTTTCAATGAAAATATCTTTTCATCTGATTTGTAAAACAAACCAAGCTTTTCGAATTATGATTACAACACAGTACTAGAGTACAGTAGTGATAAAAAAAACAACAACTATAGTATCACTCCACTTTCATATGTTTCTAGCAAAAAAAACGTCGTTAAGCAGACTCGTGGAACATGCCACAAAATATACGAGTGATAAGCTTTCTTTCCCCTTCCTACGAACTCACTCGATTTAAACTTGACAACTGTACCATTCACACAAGAAAATATTCATTATGTGTCCGAGCTCAAACTTTACAACAAAGAATAGAATTATATTATGAATACTTTAATAATGATTTACATTTATTTTTGCCACCAACAGTGTTTAAGGTGTATTGTTTGTTGTTTTTCACTGAATCATAAAATGTGATCATAGTTTATATACAGTAGTTTGTGGATCTCTACTATATTGATATTGGGTCTTTATCATAGTTTATATACAGTAGTCTATGAATCTGTATTATGTTGTAGATTGTAGGAAGTATAGTTAGTAAATACATCTGTAGCAGTTGATACGGTTATGATATTGATTTGTATCATTGTATAAGTAATGAAATGTCATAAGTTGCTAATTAAGAGTTAATATAATATTTATATATTTTTCTAGTGACATCCCCTTGAAAATCTTGGCTCATAATAACCTGATAGGTCGTATCATTGGTAGAAATGGCAACACTATTAAAGGAATAATGGAGAAAACAGATACAAAAATCACTGTTTCTAGGTATTGTATAATTCATCATTTCTAAAGCTAAAACTATTTGTTTCATAGTTTATATACAGTAGTTTGTGGATCTGTACTATATTGATATTGGGTCTTTTACAGTAGTTTGTAAATCTGTACTATATTGATATTGGGTCTTTATCTTTATCATGTTTCCCCAATATCAATATAGTACAGATTTACAAACTACTGTAAAAGACCCAATATCAATATA